GCCTGCATTTGATCAGTGACCAATTAATAATTTCGAGTGCAGTCATAAAGCCAAACAATTGATGGTTGCTGACTCATTTTGTAAAAGTATTTTGTTTATACATGACAAAGAAAAACATTAAAAGTTCACCATTTTACATATTTGCTGTTTATACACATCCTTTCCTTTCATCTCACAGGATTGAGACAGCTAATCTTAATCTTAACATGGCATGTTTGTTTTTCTCTTTCCATCTGCTCTTTCTCACAGAGGAGGGAAAAAAAAATCTAGGTGCTCTTTTCCAGGTCTATTCTGCTGTGTGTATAATAAACATCCTTCCTTAAACCATGCTGGTGTGCACACAGGAGAGGAGTGTAGGTGGGAGGAAGATTGTATTTCATTTTTGCAGGATTGGTTTGGTTTGGTTTCGTTTTTTTTCCCATTTTGTTGCCAGAGCAAGTGCCTCAGACCACAGCATAAGAAGAATTTTAGTCCAAAAAGGAGCCCAAGTGGAAGGAGGACGTTGTGTTTGTCATCTTTGTTCTGCTCAGAAGTGATATAGGAGAAAGGCTATAGCTGTAGCATTTTACATTGTGTGGTTATAACCACTTCAGCTATTCCTGAAATCATAGTAGGATGAGATCCCGGAAGAACTTACATAAGGGCATCCTCACTTAATACCTCGTTAACATTCCCTTGGTCATCTGCCTTGCCTTTGTCACTTGCCATCCTACCACCCCTCACCTTTGTCATCTGCCATAAATACTTCTCATGTCATGTTGCTAGATCAAACTTCTAACTCTATTTTATTTTATTTATTTACATAATGAACTACATAAGTAGTTGGGTCTGTACAAAGATCAATCATGTCCTGCCTTGCCACACTGGATGTGCAGGGGTCTCTTCTGCTGTCACCTGCCTTAACCTTCTCCAGATCACATCTCTGCTGTCCTTTCTGTCTGAAGGATGGTGACATGTTGAGGCACAAGTGGGGCCACCTGAGAGGAAAAGGTATGTGGTGTTTTCTTCAGTTCATTTCACAAGACCTTTGTGACTTTATCTAGATGACTTCAAAACTAGTAAAAAAATTATTTGTCCTAATTTGTCAGAACACAGCACAGGCAGATTGTTTTTGCAAGCACTAATAAATAACAACAATTTCTGCTCAGGCTATCTAAAATTTGGGAAAATCCAAACTCCACATACAAGAATGGTGAAATATATTACCATATAAAAAGAGCAGATAAATGAAAAATCTTAAGTGATGGCTGTTTCAAAACCTATGGAGATGTGAGATCTGCCCCATTTCAATTATTCAAGTTTCAGTGTAGTTACTGGTTGCCAACAGCTTACTTTTTTCAATATCTTTATGATCTTGTGAACTGAATCACAAGAATACAATGTATAGTTTATTGGATAAGAGAAGTTTAAAATTGTTTTTAATAAAGAAAGTTTTTTACATAAACTGGGTATTTGCTTTTTATCCTGCTTCCCTCTGGAAGCTGTAAGATTAAAGTTAGATAGCTGAAACCAGGGCTATAGTGCAATGAATGGCTGTGCTTTTCCTAGAGCAGACCTAATGATGTCGAGCAGGGAGAGGTCTGAGGAAAGCTGGTGCCAAAACTGTGTTTCACTGAACATTTTAAGCCACATTGTTCATTATTATTGGTGCTTAAAATATGATTTGTGTCTTGCAAGGTGGCAAAGTAACATTTCTTCAATGTGTGTCCAAAATTCTTCATGTATTAGGAAGTTTCCTGAGGACCCACTGTAAGGCAGCTACATTAGGGAAGAAAGCATCCTGCAGCTTTCAAAGTGTCCCTGCTGACTCCTGCCTGTCAGTACAGAACTAGCTTGATTTGCCTTAATTACAGTGATAAATGTGACCCTATGGAGTCACATTCAGGAATGGTGCTGTCACACTGCTGCAATCACTATGGGCTGCTCCTCTTTCTGTGCCATCACGCTGAGGTGGCACAGCTGCAGAAAAAGTCATTTTCTACCCCCACTCTGAATATACCCACGTCTGTAAGGTGATGAGCATTCCAGCCAAAGCCCTCCAAGGAAACCCTGAGGCTATTCAGTATAAAAACTCAGGCCAATCTCCCTCCTCTTTCCTTGGACCCTGAGCCTCTCTCCATGATGGAGTACAATCATGGAATAGCTCAGGTTAGAAGGGACTGCTAGTGATCAGCTTGTCCTGCCCTTCTGCCACGGTCAGGGACATCCTCAACTAGATCTGGTTCCTTAGAGTCCTGGCCAGTGTGACCTTGAATGTTTCCAGGGCATCAGACACTACCACTCTGGGCAACATCAACCAGCCCTCTCCAACATGTTGGGCACACACAAATTTCCTTGAGTGAAAGGGAGGAGAAGGCAGCCACAGTTGGGTCTTGAGCGATAGAGACAAGGACATAAGGAGAATGATTTGGGGTCAGCATGGGGGAAGAGAGGTGAAGGTTGTGTGCTTGGCCACGCAGAGTGAAGGGTTTATGGAGGTGATAGACCTGAGGGTCAGTATAAGCCACAATCTGACACTTCTGTTGTTTTACAGTTGTTTTAACAGTATTTTGTACGTTCCTCTTTCTTCATTGCAATTCCTAACAGATTTTCCTGTTTTTTCACTCCAAGGGGAAAAGTTGCTGATGTTTCAGACTGACAGTAAAAGCTTTTCTCTGAGTAGTAACAGCTCACTGAAAGCCTTTCTAAATGTCCACGTAGAAATGTCTTTTTGTATGTACACTGGGGAAAATAGAAACATAAGACTACACATATTATTTAGTGTTTGTTGGCATTAGATTTTGTATGGTATTTTAGCACCTTGTCACTTAGTAGTGACTGCTCCTTGTGTTCTGCTCCCATACCTGAAGTTAACATGGTTGGAAGAAGTTTGTTGGTCTGTGAGCTACATTCTCTCCTGCATTGACTTCATGGCAAAGTAAGTAAAGATCTGATTTTACCAAGACGACACAAATGGTGGCCTTTGTCATTCAGAGTCTTGCAGCTAATGGTAGAGGGTGTTTGGCAGTGTGTTTTCAATCAGGGTTCAGTGTAAGTGCATCTGTTGTGGATGAGGATTGCAGGGCCTGTGCTGGCTGAGGCACAGAGGGCAGCGTTATGGAACAGGAGGAAGCAGAGGACTTGGCAGGGGCACCACTGAGCTGTTTGCTGCAGCTGAGCAATGGTATGAATGAAGAGAGCTCTGGAAATAACTGAAGTAGCCTTGTTTCCAGTGCAGAGTATGAAAAGCTTTCCTGAGCAGTAATGGAAGTGTGGGCAAGAAACCAGAAAATGCCACAGGTTTATTCAGGCAAGCATGAATTTTGCTGTTCAGTCAGGAAATGTGTGTTTATATGTAACTAAGACACACAGAAGAATTACTGTGAACAGTAAGTTGGTACAGGAGAAGCTTCACTGCAAACATTTTTATCAAATCCTGAAAAACTGTAAAACTGAGTAAGAAAAACTTGTTACAAAGGCATTCATATTTACTTCTTTACATTATCCATCTTGCTAACTTAAAATGCAAGATTAAATGTAGTCTTCCTTGGCAAAGGAACTAGATTTTGTGTTTAAAGAATAAATGTTCAGGAAAAATCCTTTTTGTGCACAGTGCATGCTTTATGATTGCTCAACGTTGATTTATGTGCCGTTCCTGTAAATTTATGGCAAATGTCCAGTAGTGTGTAAACATGAGGATCAGACCAATAGAAATATGGGAGACATTCATGAAGAAAAGACTCGGTGTCATGTTCCAACATGCAGCTTCTACAGACTTGAAACAAAGGGCTGAGGCTGGCTCAGGAGCAGGATAAATGGACAATATAAAGGTGGTCTAATAGCAAAGTCCCTCAGTATAAAACACAATCAGAAAACCAGTTTGGTGCCCCAAATCAGAAACAAGACAAATTCAAGTTCAAATTTCAGAGTGAAAGTAATTATGCATTATTGAAAATATATATTTTGGGCTTTAGGCTATAGTTTGTGAACATTGCCCTGGCAGAATAAAAAGACTTTAAGATGACAGAGGCCCTGAGTAAAGAACATGGTGCTCAGCCTCTGTTTGTCCAACAAGGAACAACATCCCTGCAAATCGATCCTGTTGCCAAAAAGCTTCTTGCTACATTATAATGTACGTGACCACACACTTGCAGGCAGCTGGAATTGTGCAATCTTTTCAGGCAGGCAGACTTAGAGAACTCTCATCCTTCATAGATAAAACAGCTTGAAAGCTGTTTATTCAATGAATTTGTCCTAAACCTGCTTTGAATAGGGTTTTTAAAAAGCACAGCCATTTCTGTGTGAACATTAAACGTATAGCTGTCTCAGTCTATCACAAAAAGCATGTTTATAAAAGATGTTACTTTGAAATGAAGAAGCAGGAAGAGCACTGGCTTATAAAAGAAAGATTTGTGTTGTTTTTATTATTCCTTTTGGTCACCGTGGGTTACAGAATGGAACGTGCAACACGATTCTATGCTCCTGCTTCTTTTCTAGTTGGGCTGCTCAGGCGTATTGGAGGGATACCTGTGCTTGGATTCAAATATTTTACTTTCCTGTGTGGATTAGTGGTCCAGTCTGATGAACTGCTCTTATCTGGTGCCTCAGCTCTAGTGACAAGACTCTTGACCTGCTGGATCAGCTCCTTCCAGATGCCCTTTGGCACGTGAGTACATCATTCTTCACGGAAAACAAAAATCCCAGGTTAGTGCTCTTGCATTCATTAACTTTTCTCTCTGCCAAGAAGATTTTATTTTCTGGATGTTTACTTGTTTCAGTAGATATTATGCTGTATACCATACTGGCTTTGCTACAGGATATCACAGGACAACCTATTACTTCAGAAGACTAACTGAGTACACTGGGTAAATAATTTCTTTCTTTGCTTATTTTTATCCTAGGGTTTTGGTTTTTTTAAGCTTATTTAATTAAGATCTTAACACCAGATCAGCCTGTTTTGTGTCTCATACATCATGTCATAAATTATTATGAAAGACACAGATCTGTAATTCTGAAAATAAGAAAAATAATTGGGTTGATTAATATCTAACAATGCATATATTAAACTTAGAAGAAAATTTGGAAAAAAAAAAAACCAGAAGAACATTTGGTTGTTTGAAATTAAATAATACCTATGAATTTCAGTTAACCACAACTCTTTGCTAGTCTAGCCCTCTGAAAGACTTTCTGATTTAGTAAGTTATACCACCAGAATAAACATCTTTGCATAGTGTTAGTAAAAATTCCATTGTGGCTTTCTAAATCGGCAAGAAGGAATTAGACTGCATTAGTTATTCATGGTTTCAGTGACATATGGATGAAGGATTCCCCCGCCCCCAAGTTTCCTTTTGTTTTACTTCTATCACAACTTTCTTAGGAATAGAGAGCAGCAGTTGCTGCCTTCTGCCTGCTTATGACCTCAGCTGAGGCTGTTTGGAGAAATCAAATTCCAGGAGAGTCTGAGATCTTTCTTGAAAGCTCTTATTGATTTCAATATTCATGCTACTGTAATAAAAATAGCAGGTAAGGCAAGGCTAGACGGAGAGTGAGAGAAGAGGCTATTCATATGGGTGTTAACTTACCCATCCTGGTAAAACAGAGGTGTTTATTTAGAGCAGTAGCCTGAGAGACACTGTTCTATTTCAGCAGCCTTTCTGCTAAAGGAAGCAAGCATATCACCTACCCTCTGGTAAGGCGCTAGCTTTAATTTTTAATCCTTTCCTTAGATTTGGGCTACAGTAGCTTTTCTCTCAAATCTCCTCTGAGATTTGCTTTGGGGTGGGAGTGTAGTGCTGGGGGCAGAGCAAGTCCCTCCTGTGGGAAAGGCAGTCTAGGACCGCAGCAATGCATTTGGAGCATGTGAAGCAATAATTCATTTAATGTTTTTATAAACACAGAATTTGAAAACCAAAAGGAAATACGCTTGTTTCCTGTTGAGTGAGAAATGTTTGCTTCAGATGAAATCAAAGTGGATTTTTTGTTGCTGTTGCTTTTTTAGTATTATAATTTCTGAGAGTATTTTATTTTATGCTGTTTCCTCATACTGCATAATCTTGTTTTGTTTGCTTTACTCATTGGGAAATGTCCAACAGTACAATCTGCTATGAATACTCCCTTTGAGACCTGTTGATGCTCATACTCATTAGTAGTGTTTTGAAATTTGAACTTCACATTTTTGGTCATGTTGAAAACTGCTTGCTCGTCTGATTTCATGTTCCAATAGCTATTAATATAAATGTATATGTTTGGGTTTTTTTACTTTTGGTCAATCTTCTACAGGCAGGAGAAAATTGCCCAAAATGTCCTTGGAGAAAATAAGAGATTGCTCATGACTTTTTAGAATGGCTTTCTACATGCACATTGATTTCTAATATGCACATAATTAAAATGTGCTAGATTTTAATTTTAAATGTTATTCTTAATCTTACTAATTTTCTGACTGACACTGGAAAATATTGGGAGTTTATCAGTTTTCTTAGCTGGTTTGACTTTGCCTGGTTCATTGGTGACACTTTCATTATTGAGAATTTTGTACAGGTAGACAAAATTCATCAAAAGAAAAGACCATGAAATGAGGTGTAAATCTGATGGCCAGCATGTTCCAACAATTTTCATAGGAGTTGACTTTCTAAATACCCTCAGCTTCCAAGGGAATCTGCCGAAGGCAGCAATAATTTATCTCTGAGACCTTATTGATTTACTAATATTTCTTGAATTAAAAGATGAGAATTGCTAAATGCTCTAAAAAATAGAGGCACCTCAGTGCCTCTGGAAGCTGTTTGTAAGACTTCACAAGTCTGTAAGTTCCTATGGAAGTACATAAGCACTTCCCTGACCAAGCCTTCCTGAATCATTTTGCAAAGGTGAATTACTTCCTTAAGAAGGAAGCAATCACTCATGAAATGTAGACCCCTGAAGAAGGGGAAGTGTCTGAGAAAATCCTGCCCTACCAAACCAACCCTACAGTAATTTATGGAAGAACTGTCTTTGATTTCAGCTCTAGTTTACAACTACTATCAACTTGTCCTTTCTTCCTTCACTTTTGTGTATGACTTTTGGAAGTGGCTTAAGAAATGAGCTTTTGAGAGTTACCTGCATGTGGTGTTACTGTCTTCTTTAACTTCTCAGGTGCTGGTCTCCAAGGTCCTTTCTGTTGCTCTTTGCTTATACAGCTGTGAGATAAACAAAGGATTTAGGGCCATTATGGCTGTCTGGGCTCTCAAGGCATTGTGCTTTCCCTGAGAGTAAAATTTACCTCCATTTATTGGGGGAGAGCCTAAGAAAAAGGAAGATCTGAATGAAAATAGGGTTCTGAAGTTGTGTAGCAGAGCTCACTTGCTGACACAAGGCAGAGGCAAGTGCTGGCAGCTGTGTCATTCAGCCTGCTGTGGCCTCTGAGGCACAGATTCCAGAAACCAATAGCTCCTTCTGCTTGTCCCACTCCGTGGCACCAAGACAGCAAGGATCTTCCTTAGCATCAGGAAGCTTTTATGCTTTGTCTTCAGACTCCATACTCAAGAGTTACTAAAATACCTGTGCTGGTAATTTTGCTGCCATAAAGTTTTATCATCACAACACCCAATCATGTTAAAGCAGAATGAAAAGAACCTCAGCTTTTTAATTACTGCATAAATTAAAACTTTCTGGTTCCAGGAAGCCACTCTGAATGCTAGAAAATCCTTTGTAAATATTTGTCATCTATTATAATACAGGATTTTACACCTTGAGATAGCCACTTCTGTAAGAAATCACCTTATTACAGCTCTGATTATTGTCCCCAATAAGCTCTCTCGGTTAGTAGCTTTTGCTGTCTCTCACTTGGATTATGTGCACCCTCAAAATGTGACCTAAATGTCCAAAATATGGAGAAGAGCTATTGAAGCATTCTTGTACATGCAAGCTTCTCATCTTAAGCTTCTTGGCACACCAGTTTGAGGCAGAAGCAACGGTGATGGTCCCAGGAAGGGGACATGGTGGCATGAGGATGAAGTGATACTGACAACAGTAGGACAGGACTATTGACCAGATTCAGTAGGAAAAAATAGCAGAAGCTATAAATGAGATAAAGAGTTAGACAACAGACACTGGGCTTATCCTCGAATAGTTTTCATCATTGCCTGGAATGCAAAAGCAGTAAATTCTTTATACACTTGACAAAACATTTATTCTTATGCTATTATACAGGGGGATCTGTACAGGAGACTATTTCCTATATCTCACTAATTTTCTTAATAGCATGAAAACTTTGCTGAGGACACGCATTAGTCACAACTCAGTGAATCTTGTTTATTTAAGAAAGACATAATCCTGAATAAAGAAATCAGTAACTGCTTCAGCATTGTGATGGCACTGAATAAAATTAGTGCACTATCAAAGCTGCTAGAAGTACTACTGTTGTCTTGATGGAAAAGGACAGGCAGAAGCTGTTTAAAAAATTTTGTTCAAAAATTTCTACTTTCAGATGATATAAATTAATTACAGTGAAGTTACATATCTTGGTTATGGGAACTGAATCTCTTACCCTTTGATTCTCAGGCCATACATATTTGTGGACTTAATTGAGGGTCTGGGTAAAGGTTTTGCTAATGTGACATGTCTCAAAGTTCTGAATTTTGAACTGTTTCTTCTAATTGTTTTTGTTTCATAATGGTTTCATCCACAGTCTCTTCTTTATGGAAGAAATACTTCCCTACACAGCTCTGGTTACACATTTTTAGAAATTGGAAATAAACTTTTGGTAGCACAAGAGATAAGAGAAAAATATTCAAAGCATTGTGTTACTTCAGAATATAATTTAAACTTTACCTTTGTGCTGTCATGAAAGCTGCAGACTGTAAAAGTGCTACTAGCCTTCAGCAGCATTGCCAGTTTAAATTATCAACTTCCCTTTAGCTAGCAGGCCACCTGTACTAGACATCCAAGTTCAGGTTTGATACCATGTACACAAGTTACCCATACCTATCAATTACTTGATGTTTTCTTTTTTACAGGAAAATAGCTGTACTTATCAGTGAGACTTCATTTCAAGAAAAGTGATAGCCCCCGGCTTTGCTCACTGCTTGAATGGCTCCACATTAACATCACCTGGGTGACAGCTGAATTTTAAATTCCCACATCCTTTGAGCTGTGCTGACTGACATAGTTGTGCATTTCAGCTCACAGCCAGAGCTCACGTTTGAAAATCTGAAAAAAAAAATTAAAAATCATACATCAAGCATAAGAAGCATAGGATCATTTTAAACCAGCTATGCTATAAAAGGAGTATTAATACAGAATTATGCCCAGATTTTTATCATGCTACTATCATGATGAACTCTCCTAACAGCTGCCATCATGGGAGGGGTTTCTGCTGATATTTCACATAGCCATCGAGAACAGAAATGGAGACAGGAGGTTCTGGAAGTATTGGCCTGTATTTTGGGGTGGGGAGGGTGACTTTTTCCTCCTTTCTGTCACACAGAAGGAAACAGGTGAGGCTCATCAGGAATTTAAAGGAAGATATATGAATGGTGTATTGGATGCATGAAATTTCTCCCTGCAAAACAGGATGATATTTTTTATTCATAGAGGGATGATGTGAGAAGTAACAGGAGTGTGTGTGAGGAGGAGGCCAAAAACACAAAAGGGAGACTGCAGTCATGCTTGAACACTTTTGGCAAGAGTTAATATTTAACTTTATTCCAGTGTTCCCACAGTGTTCCTGTGGTTAGAGGAAGTGCCATTGGGATGAGGAAAGCATTTAATCTTTAAAGAGATTTTGGCATCTTTTAATTGGATTTTAGTACTTGTCAGGCCTTGTTCTCTATTTGATCAATAAGGAAAGTGAGTTGCATCAAAAAAGCTGGGAAGGAACACACAGAATAATAATATATTCAGGGTTGCTAAACCAGCCAGACTTTACAAAGCAAAGTAAACCTTTCAGGAAGTTTGGGGAGGGCAGATTATTTTAAACTGGCCATTGATCCATGTTTTAACAACACAGATTTATGAATCATGTGTAATGTGTAAATGTAATGGGTAAATATTTGTAATCAAATGGGTTTTGTTTTCCTAATGTCACATGGATGAGCTTTGTTCTGCTCAGGGAACTTGGATCTAGGTCATAGGATTTTGAAGAAATTATCTTCAGAAGTGCTTTAGAGTGTGTGTGGAGGGAAGAAGGGAAGGAGAAACAAATGTCTTCTGGGACAGATACCAAAACTTAGCCATTGGTCTAAGCACCCTTATACATCAGCAGGACCCCAGAGCTGAGGCAGCCACTGCACTCCTGGGTTCCTCATCCCCGGGACCTCAGCCCCAGAGCTGTGCATATGTGCACAAGGCAGACTGATCCATGGAGCTGAGCAGGCAGGTCGTGCTTCCCAGCTCCCAGCAGACTTGGATCTTGTCCTGCAAGCACCAGAGGGAGATGCTTTTACAGGCATGTTTTGTTGGACTCTCTTCCACAGAAGCGTTCCAGGGACAGAGTGTTCCAGACTCAATCCCTGTGAATGTTAGTGGCTTCTCCTGAGTTAAGCGAGGTTAATAGCTAACCAAGCTGCCTTATTCACTGCAGCAGCAATCTCATCACTAGCAGCAGTAAAAGTTTTTTTTTTTCCCTCATGTTAACATTTATCTTGTGAGATGAGAGGTTTTGAGGCTCTTTTTCTGTCTTTTCTCTGGTGCTCCCCAGCAGAATGGTTTTCAAGTGAATGTCATTTGATGAAACAAATAATAATGAAATTAAAATTCTTTCTGGGATAAGAAGAAATTTTAGGAAGAGGTATTCTTGTAGAAGATACTCCAGCTGTATTAGAATATGTTTCCAGATATACAGTGTCTCCTTCTTCCTTAAAATATTTTCAATAACATAACATAGAATTACAATTCAAGACAAATAATAATAGTGAACTGAGTGTTAACAAAACCTTCAGAATCTGTAACCAAAGACAGTGGCCTCATATTTATGCATTGAAAAGATATGTAACCATGTAAGTTAAGAAAATTCACTAGTGTGCTGTTCCTGAACTGCAAGATAAAATCAGGCAAAATAGTTGTTTTTTGTATCATTTATGCCTTTGATGTTAATTATCTTATCTGTGTCTCTGATGCCACATGCATTACAAAAGATGTTCTCTCCTCTTGTTTTCAGGTAATGTGATTTGAAGATGCCAACCCCTTGGCAAACGTGCTGCAATAAAAAGTCCAGAACTGAGAATGCAAAAGCTGAAATGGACAATATGGCAGAGACAAGTGAAAAAATGCAGATGAAAAAAAAAATCACACTACTAAATGGAGTTTCTTTAATTGTAGGGAACATGATTGGCTCTGGCATATTTGTATCACCCCGAGGTGTTTTAATGTATAGTGCTTCCTATGGACTCTCATTGATCATCTGGGCTCTTGGTGGGATTTTTTCCCTGTTTGGAGCTTTGTGTTACGTTGAACTGGGAACATCCATCATGAAATCTGGAGGCAGTTATGCCTATATTCTGGAGGCATTTGGGGCCTTTGTGGCCTTCATCAGACTCTGGTCTTCCTTGCTAATTATCGAACCAACAACTCAGGCAGTGATAGCAATCACATTTGCTAACTATATTGTTCAGCCAATTTTCCCCCACTGTGAGCCACCATATGACGCTGTCAGGTTGATTGCAGCTGCATGTATATGTAAGTAGTTAAGAAGAAGTTAAGAGCTGTAATTATATGTGGTCAGAGAAGGTTTTGCTAAATTTCTATTTCTTTGCATTCTGTGAATGCAATTATTCTGTGAGTGCAATTATTAGCAAAATAATTATTATGTATCAAAAACATGTTCTTAACAACTAATAATCTTTTATTCAGATGTATTGTGTTTGGAGCTGGTATTACTAGAGGGGAGAGGAGAATTACAACAATTTGGCAGAGAGAAATTGTGACTGATGATTAAAGGTACATGTGTGTCTATGGTTCACTGGCCTAACTGTCTGATAGGACACTGTCACATGCACAGATTAATTTATGAAAATGAAGGCAAGATGTTCTTTGAGCATGTGTGGTTGTATGCTGGTGCCCTTACTATATAGCATGATTTCTAAGTTATTTTCATTTTGAGCATTACAAAACCCTTTTTCTTCCTTTCAAAACTGAAGTATAGATTACAGGCAGGTCAAGGAAACAGAAGCAAAGACCAACAAGATTTCTAGATAAGAAGTATCCCACTTTGATCCATGCCACAGGTGACCATGCCACATTTGTTTTGCTCTCTTCTCCATCAGCTGGGCTTCATACCTTGTACCAATGCACACCATTACCCCTCCTCATCTATCTCTGTTTTGAATCATGAGATTTCAAGAGGGAGAAGTTGCCTGTGTTGCCATGTGTGTGCTAGAGTGAGAGCAGATGGGCACATGGCTCAGCCCTGGCTGCACCTGCTGCCAGCTGAGGGACAAACCTGACTGCAGAGAATATGGCAAAAGGAGGAAAGGAAAACTGTCTGATCCCACCCGCTCTCTGCAACCAGCTAGTTGGGTATTTTTGTTAGATTCTGTCAAAACTGGGACTTGAGAGGATTCTGTAAGTGCTATGCAATTTTCAGACTCAGGGCCAAAATGTGAATGACACAAAACTTCTAAGCCATGAGCACACAGTAATAGCACAGTGGCTCAGCTCAATTCAGTATCTTCTCACAGCATGCAAACTGTTTTTGTGGTGTAGTTGTCCTTATTCTGTACCAAAACTAGAGCTTAACTCAGCAAGAAGAAATTTTTGATATACAGGATACAAAGAAATACTGTCATTTGCATGTAAACAGCTCTTGTTGAGTTTAATAAAACTTAATTATTTAAAAGGAGAAGGAGCTAGTCCTAAAGTTCAAAAATTGATGTGTTTTGTCTTACCTACTGTCATGAAAGCAGTATTCTTCAGAAAACCATTGTGTAAATTTTAAACCAGGTATTTCATTTTAATAAATCTGGGTGATCCTGAAGTGGTGAAATTTGATTCTGTTTTACTCCTTGAAAGAGTATTGGTATCTGGAGAGATGGGTTTGAAATATGACTTAAGTGATGTTAAACATCCAGTGCTCCTTTCATGCATATTCTTTTTCTCTGCAGGTTCCTTAACATTTATTAACTGTGTTAATGTAAAGTGGGGTACTCGTGTACAAGATGTTTTCACATATGCAAAAGTCATGGCTCTTATCTTGGTGATATCTGTTGGCCTTTACAAAATTGGCAAAGGTAAGAATAATTTTCATTTACCTAAATTCTATTAAATGAATCATATATGAGTTTCAAAATCCATGTAGGGAGATCTTTAAGACTGATATATGAAATATTGTTTATTCTGGAAAAAAAACAATAAAGTCTGCCATAGGAAGATCAGATGCATTTTATGACTTGTTAAGCAATAGGGGGTTCATTATTCAGGACAAGTCCTGTGCTGCTTGGTCTGAATAGCAAATAGCAGCTGAATTAACATCACTTTACTGCTGACTAGTTAAAGTCAGCCTCGGTGTCTGACTCATGCATTACTACCTGTCCTATAACAGGACAGAGAGTTCCCCCCACCTCACCCCACTGGCACCCCCCCTAGCCACAGCACCCTGCCCACAAGAGGACCAGAGAGGGTAAATCATAGCTGGGATTTGTGGGAGGGCATGTTTGTTCCTAGAAACAGAGGAGACTGTAACAGTGCAGTTCAGTGAATCACTGTGGCATGGTGTTACTGTAAGGCATCACAGGGCAGATGAGCCAGCTCCCTATCAGCAATAACTGGACTGAACACACTGCAAAGCTGAAGAGCAATTTATTCTGGTGCTACCTCAGAGCTTTGCATATAGCAATAGATTTGATTTTATTTATATGGGCCTCTGGTACAGTGAATTCTCCTCTAGTTCTAGCTCCACTGCTAGAACTAGATTACTAATGTTTTTACATTTTCATTTCCTTTGGAAGTCTTAAATTGCATAGCCATTTTATCTTTCTTCCATTGAAATAAAGGTGGTTTCCCCTCTTCAGTTTAGGAATTTTCTTTTTCTCCTGCTAAATTAGCTTATAAAACCTAACAAGCATGCTTTCTTTTCCATGTTTGCTGGCCTCCTCCTTTCCCTGGCTGCAGTTGCATCAGCTGTTACACTGTAAAGCTACATTAGACTTTAGGAAAGCTTTCTGGTTTAGCCATTGCCTCTGTATGTCAGTTGTCACCAGCTGGTTGAAGTCTAAAGAACCCTGGACAACCAAACCCAGCCCTAAGGGCAGAGACGTGAAGATTCAGAGAAGAAGCATTGCTTAAGGATCACAGTTGCATGAAGGAGTAGTTCCCCTCATAAAACTGCTGCAGCTTTGCAAAAGTGTGGTTCTGTGATGTCACCTCTGTAGCAGCACTGTCCTTGCTTTCAAATTGCCTCCTTCAAAATTGCCTCCCCTCCTGCTCACTGGTGTGCTGCTGGGTCCAGGGGCTGCTCCCTCTGGTCCCACACAGTGCCCATTTTGTTTCCTCTGCTTTGCTCTGTGGGCTCAGGGAGGGTTGAAGCATAGCGGGTACTTTATGGTGAGGCACAGAAAATGCTGAGAGCTTGCAAGGGTAGTAAAGGTCGCATCTCTGCTTTGTTTAAGCAGAACTGAGCACTTAAATACAGGAAAGACTGGGAGGAGGAATGACGTTGATTTCTGGAGGAAGCTGTGATCAGGTCAATGACCCTTTTAAACTCAGCAGCTGTTTTAATGAAAAGAACAGTTATGATGTTTTAGCCCTGCCATATTCTTTCTGATGTGCTTGGATACACTTCTTGTGTTACAGGACTGTAAATATATCTGATTTTGAATATGAGCTGTCATTACCAAAAAAACCCCAAAAACAACAACAACAACAACAAAAAAAAAAAACCAAAACAAACAAACACAAACAACCAAAACACTTTTCTTGAACATTTTGGATTTTTTTATTTTCTTTATTTTCCAACCATTTTCTTCTCCAAAGTATGTGTACATCTCATAGCTTCTTTTCTTTGTTTCAAACAGTCTCCTGTTCTTCGATGACTGAATTGCTTTTGTAGTATCTATAAACTCCTTAGTTGAATCAGTGCTTTCATTTTACAAAAAAAGACATTACTTTCTTTCCTAACTGAGGTTTCAGCATGTTTCTGTCTTCTCTTAATACTTAACCCACTTCCATTTTCATTAGATAGTAGACTTTCCTTCTGCAATCTCAGTAAAGCCTTTCTTCCCCTTTCCAGCATGGCAGTGAAGGCTTATGCAGTTTCACTAACATTTGGCCTATTTTGCAGCATTCTGCAGGTTGTCATCTCAACCGATGGGGCTTAGCTAAAGCAGAATTTTGAAAGGAAAGATTTTTAATCTCATCTTTAAGTTTTGGGAACACCCTTGTGGGTCAGAGCATCCCACTGAAAACTGTGAAGGAGGTCCCCCTCTAGTGGCCACGAATTCATCTGGTGAAAATAAAAGCACAGCTGTTAGGAAGAAATAAGAGACAGATTCAGGAACAGAAACTGGGTTTGCCAAGTGCCTCATCCTGGCTGACAGGGTACTGCGTGCCCTTGGTATGGCTCCCTCCTTCGATAGGGTCAGCAGTAATGTCAGGAGAGGACTCTGTGAATTCTGGTAGAATTGCAAAAGTCACATCCAAACAACAAACGTGAAAATGTTCTGTTTTCTCCCTGTGCAAGAGTAGCTGTGAGAACATCTGGCTGAAACTCTCTTGTTTGTTAATTAAAAATGTAAGTTGTGTAGTTTTAGATACAGTAATGAAACCTGGATGCAGTGGGGTGTTATTTCCCTTTTGCTAGCTGACACTTCAGGTGTAATGCCCTTCTGAGTTGCAATCCTTGAAATGTAACAGTCAGTTGGCACCTGCCATTTGTACAGGGGAAACTGAAAACCTGAGAGCTCCGTTTGAGGGCTCCACAACAAACCCAGGGATGATCGCCCTGGCTCTCTACTCTGCCCTCTTCTCCTACTCAGGATGGGACACGCTCAACTATGTCACCGAGGAAATGCAGAATCCTGAGAGGTAAACACAGGCTTTTCCTTTGAACCACTGACAGGTGATGGCAGGACAAGCCACTCTGTATTTGTTTCTGATTAGTCAAATTATTTTCTCTTCTCTTCTCTTCTCTTCTCTTCTCTTCTCTTCTCTTCAAATGAAGGAGTAAGTAGGAGAACTCTTTCTGATCATTGTGCTCATTTATATCACACTAATGAATAATTTACCTGTATATGTGTATTTTACATCTTACACTTCAGACTGCAATTTTTAAAGAAGAAGAAGAAATCCCTGCTGAAAGCAAGGAAAAGCAAAGGTGCATCTAGCCCTCTAAAATTCCCTGCTTCTTTTCAGTTAGGCAGAATTATTTTTCCAAGACATTTTTTGCCACCAGTAGAGTAAGACAGTGTCAGATTTATGGCTTTTATGATGTAGGTATTACTGTTTATGGGCAAAAACAATCTCTTCCCCTCTGTAGGGATGTCAGCCCTGTGGGAGTTGGCCTGAGTCATCCACTCAAGCTGAATAGTTGATCTTGTCTTGGGACATGCATAGGTTATGAGTCAGGAAAAAAATGCCAAAATCAGGAAAATACCTAAGTCTGCACTTAAATATCATTGTTTCAGAGCTCTCTTAGACTGCTGCATATAACAGACAGTGTATTAAATTTACATGTATGAATGTTTTAAGGTTTTTTTTTAAAACTTGTGACAGACACACAAACAACAAACTAAGCTTTTTATGGAATAGTTTCATGCATGGCTGCCATGACTCCCATGACTCCCAAATGATGGATTACAAGACATGATGGAGGTAGAAACATTCACAAATGCTTGAATCTGGGAACAATCTTCTATTTAAGTACTTCTCATTTAAATAACATGTAATAATTTTTCCATTTTCCTTTTGCAGGAACCTACCTCTTTCTATTGCAATTTCAATGCCTATTGTAGCTATCATTTACTTATTGACTAATATAGCATATTATGTAGTGTTGGACATGTCAGCTCTCCTCACAAGTGATGCAGTGGCTGTGGTAAGTTGTGGAACATAACCCAAACAAAAGACACAAAATTTCAGGTAGCATGCTTGGCAAACAGCTGAAATACTGTCATGCTGAAGGCTGCTTAAAACATTTTTTTCATGTTACAGTACCAGTATATTAGAAGGTGCATATCAAGAATATAGCCACTAATAATGCTCTTGAAAAATTGTCTTGTGTACTCTTTAAATCCTGCTCTTAACACTGCATCATAGGAAAGATGTTTTTGCCAGGAGCAGGACCAAGGGGCTATAGCAAGTCTGAGTGGTTAGAGAACCAGGTTTTTTTGTTATCATTCTAATGTACAGTATGTAATGTTTAACGTTGCACAACCACAGCAATATTTTCAGTGTAGAAGTGTGCACTGAAATGTTTTTTAAAACCTTATCAATATTTTATACAGAAATAAAATGATAATTCATAGACTACTACAGTTGGGATTTGTCAGAATACTAGGCTTAGGGGGTTTTTTAAAATATTTTTTAATGTATCTGCTAATTTTATTTTGATGCTGATCAGCTTTTCCAAATTCTAATTTCCTAAGTCATTACTGGGTATCATCAAAAAGCATGGGCTATGATACTACATTTGGGATAATGTGTTTTCATGAGAGTTTCTCAGAATTATCCATATGCCTAACATAGTGGGCCTCACCATTATTTTTTTTTCTGTTACAGACATTTGGAGGTGAAACCCTTAGTCATGCCAAGTGGATAATTCCTATAGCAGTGGCCATGTCTTGCTATAGTGGCTTAAACTCATCAATTATTGCAGCATCTCGGTATGAAATAGAAGATTTATTTGAAATAATTGAAAAGGAATCATTAATCCGCATTCTTTACTACTGTTTGGTAATTTTTGCCATGCCAAGTTGTGCATTTATGATGGAGGTACTGTTACAATCTGATGTCTTCTAATGATAGCACCATTTAATAAACTAAAGCCACTTAAGAAGAGAGCAGCACTTACAACAGAGTAATAAAATAATTATTTCTTTGCTTTATCAGGAAACAAAAAACTATTCCTATGGTTGAGTTTCCTTAGTCTTTTTTTAGGCTTTTCTATGTTGGAGCCAGGGAAGGACATCTCCCTGTCAGTCTGAGCTTGATTCACGTGAAGTGCTTCACACCAGTCCCTGCTCTCCTGTTCAACGTAAGTGACGCCCCAGCCTCGTGCCTGGCTGGGCAGCTGGGGTTTGGGCCTCGGGTAAAACATCCCTGCTCTGCCCTGGACCTCTCACAGACTTCTCCTGCCCTGGAGACATCTTCTGCTTATGCCCACAACTTCTAGAATTCACTGAGGGGGTGGGAGTGGTGTTATTTTTTCTGATAGAGGGGTTTTTTCCAGTGGAAAGAGAATGGCTTGATTCATTCATATGCTCTCCAAACAATATTAATGAGAAGTACAATAGCATTGCTGAGAAAACAGAGAATGGCTAAAGATGTAATGGTATAGACGAGAGCTTTTAAGTCTTTAATGTGAGGTGTTAAAGTGTCACTGGAGGAGAATATGTCAGGGACATCTCTTTGACCCTGCCATAGGCTGATGTTCTACAACTGTAGTTATAACAGGAGTGACAAAGCTCTTAAAATTAAATTTCTACCATTGGAAGCCTATAGCCCTGTTGACTTTTTTTCTGCTGTCACTCTACAAATGAGATCTTGTGACACAAAATTGTGGAACCATAAATTATGGAATTACTGGAAATTATTTTCATAAATAATCCACGTATTTGCATGCATTTTATTTGGTGTCTGCCATTGCCCTGTGTTACATATAATTTATTAATAGATTATCATACTCATCCTGTTTGACATCAAATAATTTACTAAAAATTATAATCTCATTATGAAGACTCTTCTCATAGGGGCTCTGTTTGCAATAGCAAGTTGATTTATACTCTCTTAACATACCACCATTCACATTTTTCATGTGGAAAGTGGAAGTTTTTTCTGCTCATCTGTTAAAATAGATATTGAAACCCTAGGGCACAGAATTTACTCTAATGGTCTCAATTTATGAGTGAACTGATATCCTAATAAAAATAGGTTTGAAACAGGACAGTTTATAATTTTACTCTGTCTTTATTTTCACATTAAAAAGTCTTTGTTTTTTATTATCTCTAGGGCTTAATGACTTTGCTTTATCTCCTTGTGGAAGATGTTTTCCTCCTTATTAATTACTACTGCTTCAACTACTGGCTCTTTGTGGGTCTGTCTATTGCAGGACTAATATATCTGAGATATACTCAGCCACATAGACCACGGCCTGTTAAAGTAAGTAAAAAAGATAGGAAGAAAGCGCTAAAAGCCAGCTAATGCATGTGTTTATATGACCTTTAATATCACAACCATAACAGTACCAGTTTATATTATAGATTACTTATTAGCCATAGAAATTCTTTCAAAATACAAGATGAAGGAGCAAAACCCGTTAGAGTCCACAAGAACATCTGTTCTGGTAGCTTTGCTGTGAGATTGAAATTATATACACCATTTATTCTTCTTTCCTTCAGACTTATAATAATTTTTGTTTCAAAATAAATAAGGAATAAATAAATGTCTGGGGTTTTTAGCCCATCCTGGAAGAACAGCAGACCTCAGTAGAGCTGGTGATGGAGGCTCCAGAGAGGTTAACACTCTGATAAAACCTATATGATTTAATAAACACAGTAAAATCCCTCCAAAGCCCATAAATGTCCACAATTCTGCACACACAGAAGTTAAGTTAGCTTAAATAATCAAATGTATTTTGAATGTTCCCCCCCACTGAGTAGTGGTCATAGACAGTAAAATGCAAGTTTAATGGTTGACTTAGAAGAGCATTTGACTATCAGTTAGACAAGGGAGACTGCACAGAAACAAAGTGTGCCTAAAACCTGTTTCTAGTTTTAATCCAGCAATTGTCCAGGAAGCAAGGATGGAAACACACAGCAGGCACACAAAACCATGCACTGACTCCTGTTTGTTGGCTCCGTGACCTGCATTTTGGGTCTGCAGTGATGCAGTAAAAATCAAGAGAATTACAAATTAACACCCCCCAAATATTTCTTCTTTGTCAATCTCTCTTCCTAACTCCTGCATCATTTCTACAAACACATCAAACACATTTTCTTTCCATTTAAGTGCCACATCCTGATTAATTTTTAAAAAGTTCAAACAAAGGCATAAAATATTCTAAGCACCTCCTGCTAGAAACCTTCCCAGTTCTCCATAGCAGACCAAATTTTCCTGAAACATGTTCACACTCAGTTTCCAGACTTTCCCACAAAATATGTGGAAGATAAAGATTAAATCTTGCCTTATTGGCAGTTTTGCCTCTGATTCTACTAAGGATTACAGTCAGATTTTGCAGAAAGAATGTTTCATTCCTGTCAGCATTTGCCAGTCAACACCACAACTCCACATACACCATTTCCTTTTCTGAAACGTAGCAGCTGGTTTTCATCAGCTTACATTTTTTACATTTATAAGCAAAAGAAAAGTATTTATACCAGTAAACTCTCACCAATTTCAGCTGGTATTCAAATGTCAACTCCTGGACCCTTGAGAAGGCTCACTACTAGAGACAGAAAAAAAAAAATAGAGAAAAATAAATTCATGAAGAGGGTTTTGAAAGTTTCATAGAATCATAGAATCATAAAATGTCAAGGTTTGCAAGGGACCTTAAAGATCACTTAGTCCTAACCATCCCTGCCACAGGCAGGCACAATTTCCACCAGACCAGGTTGCTCAAGGATTTATCCAACCTAGCCTTGAACTACTGCCAGAGTTGGGGCATCCACAACCTCCCTGGATAACCTGTTCCAGTGTCTCACCACTTTCACACTAGAGAATTTCTTCCTAATACCTAACCTAAATTTCTCCTCTTTCAGTTTGTACCCATTATTCCTTATCCTATCACTACAGTTCCTGATGAAGAATCCCTCTCCACCTTCCCTGTAGTCCCCCTTCAGACACTGGAAGGTTGCTATGAGATGTCCATGCAACATTTTCTTCTCTTGGCTGAACAGCCCCAACTTTCTCAGCCTGCTGTCATAGGGAAGGTGCTCCAGTCTTCTTATCAGCTTCGTGACCCAGCTTTCCTTATTTGTGATATGTTATTTGTTAAGTGCCCACACAAAATGGTTGTAAACCAGTCCATTAGTTCTACAACATCAAGATGGCAATTGAAGGTTGAGAGGCAGTTCCCAACCAAAACTACATGTAACAATTCAGAACTGAAGTTGGAGAGAAAGCTACCCATTACTTAAAGCACCTCTTTCAAAGGCTGAACTTTTACTAATTGTAAAGGAACTGAGTTTATGCAGGTGTGAAAAAAACAAAATAGATGTTCAGATGTGTACCAAATAAGAGGCTCTCAGCAGTGTACACAGAAGTTAATAAATTATGCCGACTGTAAGCAGTCAAAAAGATTGAGTACCTATTTTTATTGTTGACCTGTCTAACTTTAATCTGCAAAGCCTGAATTTTTAAAATAGAGTGTTTGTTGCATCTTTTAACAAATGCTGTATTTTTTTTTTTTTTGTCTTCACAGCTTAGCCTCTTCTTCCCTATAGTATATTGTTTGTGCTCACTATTCCTGATTATAGTGCCTCTCTACAGTGACACAATCAATTCCCTTATTGGCGTTGGTATTGCCCTCTCAGGCATTCCCGCATATTATTTGGGAGTCTATCTGCCAGTTGAAAAACGACCTAAATGTCTACTTTGGCTCTCTGGTAAGCAACACTGTGTCCCAGTCACCATGTCAAAATCTTGGTCAGAAGAAGGAAAGAATAATTTTCCCTAAAATCCTTATTTCTATTAAGTTTTGCTATGCTTTGGTATGTGGCATGTCTGAGATCATCTGCTTTATCACATAGTCCTGAGAACAAAACCATGCTTACCTGTACAAAGCAGTGCAATATGTAGGACCAGTCATAACTATGACTCAATATAGTCATAACTATGCTGGCCCAACAAAAGTTATGTAGGCTTGTAAATACTAAACCTAATCTTTTTAATACCCTGGAAGGCAGAAATACCAGAACATCTTTGCTTCACTTTCCATCCAAGGAAAGGAACAATCCAAATCAGAGGAGTGCACAGATTTTCAGAAACAATGAAATAATTAATTATTGGCTTGGAGGGTAGTTGCCAGTCCTCAAATTCAGGTGGTCTTGAAAAGCAAATCTTTAATGTTTTTATTTATTATACTTTGAATTCAGCTATCAATTCAATGAAAGTGTTGATCAAAATCTGATTATACAAGAATTTCAGTTTAATTATTGGCTTCTTTTGCCTTTAGCTATTTATAACATATGCTTAATTGTACTGATTAAGGTGTTTCAAGATTTTCCTAATATCTATGTAGTGTTTTCAAATCCTCAAAATCCGGATTTATGTCTAAGATATATTTAAATTTCTGTCACACATTTTTGCCAGTACAGCTACAACAACGAAGTACGTTCAGATGCTCTTCTACTGTGCTCTGTCAGACCTGGACATAGACGTGGAACCCACAACAGCTAAGAGTAAATAGAGTTGCCTCAACATTGAGAATTGTGCCTTGACATCTCCTGTCTGGAACAATTTTTATCATCTGAAGTTCTCCTCATATATGCAGTCATACTAGAGCACTAACCCCTGTACTGTGCATCAGTTTGATGTCAGTTAAGTTGTGATGGTTTTATAAAACACTCTGTTTTCCAGGATTTCCTTTTAAAATTCTGTTTGTTAATAGTGAGTTATCATGTAACATGCTGAAACTATAAAGCACTTGGTTGGAAAGGATGAAAGTTTGACAAGAAAGTTTCATAGATATGTATGCTTGGCAGAAAGCTCTTTGTAGAACCTGAGAACGAAATAGAGATGGAAGCAAGTTTTGATATAGAAGAACAATAGATGTCTAAATTGACAATTGCTGAGCCAGTAGTTACTGGACAACTAAGAAAGCAAAGGTTAAGTCAAGTTGAAAGGGTGTTGTATGACTAGAGCAAAGGACATGTTGACCACAAAGAAAAAGATGCTTTTACCAAGCAGAAACAGGTCTTAGGAAAAGGAGAAAGATACCCAGGTGAACAAGCATGCCAATGTGGCAAGTAGAAAAAAGGTCTAAGAATTTTCTGCTGCAAGAAAACTGAAATACTTTAAGCTTAAACTGTAACATACTAACTGATGTGATTGGATAGTATTGACCATAATATGGTAATGATAGTAGTTATCATAGACTATAGGTAATAGTAAAGGTTATGTATTAAATTGCTCAGCAAAGAAAAATATATAATGCATTGCAACCAAAACTAAAGGGTCTTCAGGCTTGTCTATAGCTGGAGCTGACAGCTGTAGGCATGGCTCTGTCACCCACAACCCAAGACTGCTTTAAAATCTCATATACAAATAAACAGCATTTTGAAGAGCCATCTGGAGTCCTGCATCTCTTGTCTCAGGCTCTTACTAATGGCGCCCACAGTTTAGTAGGCAAACTCAGACTTTTAGCAGTAAGAGACCTCCTGGTGAACTCAGAAGGAAGCGCCTGCAAGGACAAACAGGCTCCTGAAAGGGAGGTGACCAGGGCCCAGACAGGTGTTGCTGCTGGACAGTACCTGGATCCAAGCCTCAACATACAGCACCTGCTGCAAGGACAGCAGGTGAGCACCGGGGAATCAACGGGGCAGAATGTGTCTGCCAATCAGAGAGATGTGCATCAGCATTGGAAATCTTTAATTAAATCCAGTCCAAGTAAATTACCAAAACAAGAGCTTAAAAATCTTCTACCATGGACTGAGACCAACTTCCCAAATGCCGATTCTGCAGCTGTCTTTAACAGAGACTTTTGGGACTCCATGGGGGCCAAATTATATAATGCTATTTCTCGCCTCAACAAAACAGCAGCAGATTTACTCCCTGCTTGCCGTGTGCTTGTAGTAATCTTTGCTGGGAAACCCCTGCTGCAGTGCCCTTTCCCCACCATTCCACCTGAACCCTCCCGCCACTTCCCTCCATGCTGCCTCTCCAGCCGTGAAAGCAGGAAAAAGAGAAAAAAACAGCAACTGCAGCTGCAGTAAGAGAGGTAGACCAAACTAAGAGTTACTCTGCCTTGGAGGATGAGGGGGATACCTTAAATCCAACACCAATAAACTCCAAAAAAACAACCAGATTTGTTTCTAAATAATCCCAGGGATTTCCCCGTGACTGGAGGAGATCTTTTAACTAGGTTGCCACGGCCAGCAAGAAGCACTGAGGGACCCAACAAATCATCCCCCAGATTTCTTATGCCTGAAGCTTGCAAGGCTTTAGAGAAAATCACCAATACTCTGCAAAATAGACAAGCAGATTGCTATGTTCCAGATAAACCTTTTTTCCTTGCAGTTTTAGGAGAAATGCTGAGACTGGCCTCATCTTTTAGTGGGACTCCTCTCAAAATGATCCTTTGTTGATAATTGAATGGGTTTTTCTTTTTTACAGGTCACCAAAGACAATCTTTACATCTTTGGAGATGATTTCTCAAATCATCATCAAAGGCAGAGCAAGGCTTCTTTCTATAGCAGGTTGCGTATTTGAAGTCATCTATTTACCTATAATTAAATCCTATTTTGATTGGGCCATGCAAAAGTCAGAAGATTTGCTGCTGAGACTGGCCTCATCTTTTAGTGGGACTCCTCTCAAAATGATCCTTTGTTGATAATTGAATGGGTTTTTCTTTTTTACAGGTCACCAAAGACAATCTTTACATCTTTGGAGATGATTTCTCAAATCATCATCAAAGGCAGAGCAAGGCTTCTTTCTATAGCAGGTTGCGTATTTGAAGTCATCTATTTACCTATAATTAAATCCTATTTTGATTGGGCCATGCAAAAGTCAGAAGATTTGCTATATGCCTTGTTAGATTATCCAGCACACAAATTGATCAAAGCTAAATTATGCTACAAAGAGAAACCCCTGATCAATGAAGAACCTTTAGATGCAGTTACTCTCTTCACTGATGGGTCAGAACAAACAAACAAAGCAGTAATTACATGGCAAAATAAAAACACTAAACCCTGGGAGCAAGATGTTCAAAAAGTCAAAGTTTCTCCGCAGATTGTTGTATTGGCAGCAATGGTAAAGAGCATTTCCACTCTTTCCAGAACCTTTTAACCTAGTCATGTTACTCCTTATCACCCAGTTTATAATAATATGACTTCTTGGTGGTATTCAAACTAAGCTTCTCACATATCATGAATGTCACACAGATCATTTTAACAGGCTTCCAATTCGATTTCCTAAAGGAATTTGGCTCATCTGTGGAGACAGGGCTTGGCAAGGTATTCCTTCAAAACTAGACAGTGGCCCTTGTGCCCTGGGACAACTTATGTTAATTGCTCCCAGTGTCAAAAAAGCAATCAAAAAGAACAATAGAAAAATAAGATCTTCCTTGGGGCATCATTATGAGGGCAACTGCAATAGTGATTTTCACCCTTGGAACTCTGGAAAATCAATTGTTATAAGTATTTTTTTGCCTCAGCTTTCCTCAATTGAAACAGTTAAACTGAAAGAGTTAAAACAAATTAGGGTGTTGACTCAGTAAACAAGTAAATGCCACCTCTGCTATGATTAGTGATTTGCTGACAGATGAAGAGGCAGTCAGACATGCCACTTTACAAAACAGAGCTGCTATTGACTTTCTTTTACTAGCACATGGACATTGCTGTGAAGATTTTGAAGGGTTGTGTTATATGAACTTGTCTGATCATTCTACTTCTATTCATAAACAGCTGCAAAACTTAACAGATTTAGCTAACCAAATTACAACAGATGAAATATCTTGGCTAGACAGTTTGTTTGATGGCTGGAGAATTGCACCTTGGCTGAAAGAACTTTTAAAGTAGGCTTGATTCTTTTAGTGGTGATAATTGTAATTATGGTAGTGGTACCCTGTGCACTTCAATGTGTGCAGAGAATGATGAATAAGACAGTTTTTAGCATCTTTGTTGTTCATCAGAACGGGGGAGATGTTGGGAAGGATCAAGTCTGACAAGTTTCACAGATATGTATGCTTGGCAGAAAGGTCTCTGAATGTAGAATCTGAGAACGAAATAGAGCCAGAAGCAAGTTTTGATATAGAAGAATAATAGATGTGTAAATTGAGGTTTGCTGAGCCAGTCTTGACAACTAAGAAAGCAAAGATTATGTCGAGCTTGAAAGAGATTTTATGACTTAGAGCAAAGGATAAGCTGGCCACAAACAAAAGGATGCTTTTACCAAGCAGAAAGATACCACAGCAAACAAGACATGTCAATGTGGCCAGGAGAAAAAAGGTCTAAGCATTTTCCACTGCAAGAAAAACTGAAAAACAACTTTAAGCTTAAACTGTAACATACTAACTGATGTGATTGGATAGTATTAACCATAATATGGTAATGATAGTAGTTATGATAGGCTATAGGTAATAGTAAAGGTATAGATTGGTTCTTATGTATTAAGATGCTCAGCAAAGTATATAATGCATTGTAACCAAAACTACAGGGTGTCTGGAGATGACAGATGGAGCTGACAGCTGCAGGCTCAGGCTCTGTCACCCATGACCCTGGACTGTTGTAACATCTTGGATACAATAAATTGCATTTTGAAGAGCCTCCCCTCCCACATCTCATCTCAGGCTCTTACTAGCCACACCTATGGTAGGAGGGAGGGAGGGCAAAAAGAATTTACACTGTAAGAAAACCTGCTTGGTGATGTTTGAGAACATTCTACCTACATGCAGAGACCAGAGGGGGGAAAAAAAAAAAAAAAAACCAAAAAGACAAAGAGCATGTACTGGTTTAAAACTAATCAATCTTTCCTCTATGTAGAAGTGCAAAGAGTAATTTAGAAACAGAAGAAAGACAAATTTGATGGTAATGGTCATAAGTTAAAGGACCAGCTGCTGAACCAGATGTCTGATTTGTGAAAGAATTTCAGAACTATTGCAATGCACAGTGTGTATTCAGGTCAAAATATGGTCTTCATAGTGATATTACCTTATTTCTGATTAGACCTTCCTCTTGCCCATATTATGTCATCATATGAGGAATCCTGCAAATTACATGAATCTTTCTCTTGCTATCTTAGGACTTAGGTCCTATCTATCTCTGAGACTGGGTGATCATGGAAGAAGAATGTAAATTGCCAGTGGAGTCACATTTGACTCCACAAGAGGGAGAACTCCTCTTCCTGATGCTATCGTGAAAACGAGCCTGCTGTTTTCAGATCTTCTGCTTGGAGCAGTAGAACCAGGGCGCTGTGTCTATTCCTGCCCCCAGCAAAAGTCCTGAGATGTACAGGCTTAACTCCACTGTAAAGTGGCAGCTACATATTCTGAATAATATATATGTACAACAATCTGCTGCAAGTCCAATGAAGATGAGGTTAAAGTTCAAACATTCCTCTTTCTTTATAGGATTGCCTCAGTGTCTGCAGCAGCAGACAGATTTTTTTCATTCTAGCTGTTTCCAATATGTAATGGCATGAATGAAAAGATCGAGGACATCCTTTTCATAATTTCCACATTTAGCATAAATAATAAATGAGCTAATCATAGCTAATAGATAATAAATTAGCTGTTTTATGGAAATGAAAAAAAATTGTTCTGCTTGAATGTCTGAGTAGATTTCCATCCTTATACTCCCATTTTTTCTCCTCTATCTTTTTGTCAGATAAAACTTATCCAAGTCTCTCTGCTATTTGGTAGTGGAGAAATATTTATAAAGACACTCTTTGGAAAATACAATGTTAATATCAGATGCCTGTTGACCTGCTGCCAATATGGTGTCAGTACATGGGCAGCTATGGCCTTTGTCCTATAGTTGCTATTTTTCCATATCACTCTGTTGAATTCACTTCCACTTTAACTGCCTTCTAGAGCAATCCCCTAGCTCTGCTCACTTAGCCATCCTTGCCTTCCATCTCAGCTTATGATATCCATCTCCTGCCAGTAATTCTCTCGATACATGAAGGTACTCTTAATCAGCTCCTCCTAGTAATATCTGCAAGTAAACAACAGGCACAAAGTGGGCAAGATATCTGTAAGAAGTAGGCAGCAAAAGGTAGCAAAAGGGGAAGGGTAGGCAGATTTCATATTCTTTTCTTCATTTTGCTTACTTTACTCTCAGGCAGATTACCTTATTAGTTGTACTGCTTGCTACAAATCCAGATGGTAAAGAGACGGAAAGACTGTGGGGATGCTTCCCAGTTTTGTATGGGTGAGGTCAGGAAGGCCAAGATGCAAATGAAGCTGAACTTAGCAAGGGATGCAAAGAGAAATAAAAGGGTTGCTGCAGGTGTGTCTGCCAGAAAAGGAAGCTCAAAGAAAGCCTTATCCTGGAAACATTCAAGAGCAGCTTGCATAGGACTCTGAGCAACCTGGTCCGGTTGAAGATATCCCTGACCATGGCAGGGTGGT